AAAACTGGTCAAGGTGGCTCACTGTGCCTCAACCAACCATGAGTATGATTTGTGCTAAATGCTTGCTTTCCTTCTAGCAACTGCTATTTTGGTATAGACCAAGACAAACACCATGGGTATTGAATCCATAATAATCTTCCCTTACAAACATGTTAATTATCACAAGTGTGAGAGGACCATGCACATTCTTCATTATTTTTACTGGACCTGGTGCTTGATAACTTTGATTTTGTTTTGTATTCTTCCACTTTAATGATTTGTAGATAACTGTGAGGAAGAGATGTCTTGTCTCTTAATTAGGTATACTATTACTGTGATGACCAAAAGTAAGTTGGGGAGGAAAGGATTTCTTTGGCTTACACTTCCACATTGTAGTCCATCATTTAAGGAAGTCAAGATAGGAGCTCAAACAAGGAGGAATCTGGAGGCAGGAGCTGATGCAGAGGCCATGGGGGAATGCTCCTTGCCTGCTTGCTTCTCCATGACTTTCTCAGCCTACCTTATTTTTTTATTATTAATTTAATTTTTTTATTTTTTGTAATTAATTTTTTAGTTCAAATTAGGAACAAGCTCGCTTCACATATCAATCCCTTCTCCCTCCCCTCCCTCCAACCCTCCCATCCAACTAGTTCAAATTAGGAACAAGCTCGCTTCACATGTCAATCCCTTCTCCCTCCCCTCCCTCCAACCCTCCCATCCAACCCCCCCACTACCTCCTACCCCATCCACCCTCCACTCCCCAGGCAAGGTAGGGACCTCGACGGGGCTCCTCAAAGTCCACCACATTATCCTGGGCCAGGCCTAGGCCCTTTCCCATGTGTCCAGGTCAAGAGTGCATCCCTTCACGAGGAATGGGCTCTCAAAGTCCCTTCTTACACCAGGGAAAAATACTAATCCACTACCAGGGGCTCCATATAGAGTGCAGAGGCCTACTCATTGACATCATGTTCAGGGGTCTGATTCAGTCCTGTGCTGGCCTCCCTGACAGCAGTCTGGGGTCCTCAGCCTGCCTTATTATAGAACCCAAGACCACCATCCCAGGATGGTACCACCCACAACGGGCTGGGCCTTCCTCCATCAATCACTAGTTAAGAAATGTTCTACAGGCTTGCCTACAGTCTGTTTAATGGAGGCATTGTCTTAATTGGGGTCCCTCCCCTCAAATGACTTTAGTTTATGTCAAGTTGACATAAAACTACCCAGCACCATAAGGAAGTCCTCCTGGTGACTCTAGATATGGAGGTGGAGCAGGGGATTGTTGTGGAATATTTGTGTACACTGTAAAGATGTGTCTCTGCCTAAGGTGCCTTCTGATTGTTTAATAAAGAGTTGAATGGCCAATAGCTAATCAGGAGAGGATAGGTGGGATTTCCAGGCAAAGAGAGGAAGAGAAGGAGGAATCTACACATTCAAGTTTTGCCAGCAGACTTAGAGCAACTTAAGCATGTGGTACTGAGGAGAGGTAATTGAGCCACATGGAATAACATATGGGTTAATTAAGTTATAAGAGCTAGTTGGAAAAAAGCCTAATTTAAAGACCAAGCTTTCATAATTAATAATAAGTCTCTGTGTTGTTGTTTGGGGACAAGCAATCCAAAGATAATCTGACAAGAAAGCATGCTACAGATGACGTGTCATACTTTTGACTTTATAGACTATTTGTAGTGTCCATACTGCAATACTAGGTACTACAGACAGCAAATCAGCCAAAGAGCACCACTGTCCAATCTAAAGTTTCCTGCTTTCTTAGCTAATAATTGTTGCAAAATTCATATACTATTTAGTTTCTTTTATTCAACATCTGAACACTTTTTCTTTACATTTTCCAGTAGGTATTTTTTTTTGAGCAAACTCCAGTCTCGTGCTTCCCTGACTCCCATCCCCATGTCATATGGAGCCTCCCCAGGAACACCAAGTGGCCTATACCATCTGTCAATCAGCTCCCTATGTAGAAAGTAACACCACTCGCAAGCTGCCATGGATTGTGGTACTGTAAGACTGTGTAACATAAATTGTCAAAAATCAGTTTCCCACTTCACTGGAACATGCACAAACATGAACAAATTAGCTACCAAATGAGAAAAGGCAAACTGAAGAAATCAACAGCCCAGGATACAAGCTGAAACACTAGTTTCTCAATATGAGATTTCCAGGAGATAGTTTAGCTGGATTTCTGATGATCTATCTAAAACATAATTTTTGATAAGACACTTTGAAAAGCACAGTATGTGAAATAAGCAACAACTGTTTCAGGAAAGGCTTTTGCTGCCATGTTGCAGAAGTTGGGTGCAGAGAGTAAAGAATGATTGGCCACCATGATTAACTCCAAGTTCAAACAGAGCATCCAATGGCCATGAGGGGGCCAAGAATGGGGACTACTGAAGCAACAGACAGCCTCTTCCCCAGATTTCATTTGAAAACAGAAGAGCTACGGATAATTTAAATGTCTCTAGAGATTCCAATGGTTTTCACAGCCCAAGTCTAGAATCTGACTTTCTAACTCAACATTCTCGGTGATTCCCCAGCTCACTATGCCTTTTGAGATGTGATTCTAAGAATAGAGACAAAAAAGCAGAAGGTTCATCCACTGCAAACAGGCACTGGACACATGCCCCCAAACAGGGAAGTAACTCCGGTGTGAGGTGTTTCCTGGATTTTCTAGAAAATGGGCTGAGAGGTGCCACACGGAAGTCTTCCCAGTATTGTTAATGGTTATTCCAAGAATTCTGATTCTTATCTTCAAATTCCAAATAATTCAATTTAGGCAATTATTTGTTTATCTAGAGATGGGGATCTAGTCAATGGCTTGGTACATGCTAAGCACATACTAGACACACACTCTAGCATCTGGCTACATCCCTACCCCTGGCAACTATTTACTGTGAGAGGCAACAAATCTGTGATCAGCTCAAGCAGCAAGTCACTAATGAATGCCAGTCCATCCGAGACAACAGAAATCACAAGAAAGTAAAATGACACCCCATTTTAGAAGGGCTCCACTGTCTTTTCATTCTGCTTAATCTATTAGGGCACTTGTAACTTTTCACAGTTAACCTTCCATATCTGCAGGTTCTGAGTCAACAGAATCAACAAACCCCAGGAAATATTTGGAGGGAAAATTGCATCTGTTTGAACATATACAGATTTTTCTCATGTCATTTCCTAAGGGATATAGAATGAGTATTTTTTATAGCATCAATATTGTATCTGGTATTATAAGCAATACATGGGTAATTTAAAATACACAAGAGGATTGCACAGGCTACATGCAAATACTGCACTATTTTATGCAATAGATTTGAGTTCATGAGGTGGTGGTGAGGGGAAACAGTGCCCTCACAGACATCAAGGGCCAACTGTATACTAACATCTTGAGAGTGAGTTGACCATTGTGTTGTACTTTCTCTTTATGTGGATGGTGTTTTGCTTGTATGTCTGTGTGCACCTCATACATGCCAGAACAGGGCATCAAACCCCCTGTAACTAGGGTAACTGCTGGCTGTGAGCATTAGTGCGGACACAGAGCATCAAACACGGGTTCTCTGAAAGCACTGCCAGTGCTCTTAACCACTGAGTCATCTGTCTGGCCTTGCTGTGTTATATTTTAATAGTACCAGTCCATATTTCTAAGTTGACATGTCAGTTTCTGCAGTTTGGGGTTAGGAGAGTGCTGCCTTTTACCACTCTCACTGCTGTATCCTATTTTTCTCCTGGACTAACTATATTAAATTCCACTTACATCAAATCACTGCCATACAGCAAAAACTTACTCATGTTTCCCTCCAAATCTGTTAGCAATTTTAAAATAATCCTCATATTGGTAACAATTCTTATCTGAAACCCCACTGGATTTCTCAACTTCTTGGATAACAAAGAAAACGCAGCACCATGGGACAAAGGTAGCCAACATAACTAGTCACATTAACAGTTCTGGGCACACATTCAAAGTGAATAAACTAAAGAGTGAGCATGGGCTCACCTCAGCTCTAGTTTTACAAGTAGAATTCCTGAAGCTTTGGTTTTCAGCATTTGGGGGAGTGGTTAGAGTTAAAGGAATATGGTTCTACGGTTTGTGAACCTGAAGCACAGCACAGGCCATGACAATACAGCACAGTAGAAACAACAGCTGAGATTGCGCAGGAAAAGTAATGCCATTCTGTATAAATGAAGGGAACCAAAATACAGAATAAGAAACAACAGCAAAACATTAAGTCAACATCTGAGAAAACCACCCAAGAATAGGCACAATTGAGCCCAAATACCAGGACCACCAGGCAGTCACCATAATGACATTTGCTATCGAATGTTGTCAAGAGAAATTAGTCCCCAGCCATTCTCTACAACCCAAAATTATTTCTAGCATACAGGACTATGGCAGTAGTAGAAAATACCATATCCACCATGGCAAGATTTTAAATTGGGCCAGGGATAGCCACTCATTCACATTCATTGTGGAAAGCTAGAAGCTGCCTAACCAAAACCCCTTCCTTCCTCACTGTACCTAACATCCCACAGCAGGAGCTCACTGGATGCTGCTTCTTTAATCTCCCTGCCCCCAGCAAAGAACATGGGAGTAGACACTTAGCATCAAGAGTTCAAGAATTCCTCTGTAATCAACTTCAATAGATGCTTCACCAAATAACTCATCATCTTCAAGTAATGAAGAAACGTTCACACAAAACTTAGGCTTTGATACATAATATGGTGGCTTGTGGGAGAAAGCCATGTGCTCAGTATACCAATAAATTCTATAAGGACCTAAAACAAACAGGAATGTATTTTCTCTGACAGATTAATTAGTTCAGGAGCCTGACACCAAATGGATAGCTATATATCTGAACCTATAATGACAGACTTGTGTGGAGTTCTATCACATGCTAAATTTCACCTTTCAAGTCCAAATGGCAACAAACGGTAACCTCAAGTTCATTCGCTCAGTGGAGAGCATTGCCTACTCAATGTTGTCAACACTAAATGTGGCAGAGAAGATTGTCTCCTACCTCCGCTCGACCCTCATAGTAGGTTAGCACAGATTTGGTAAGAACAAAAAGTCTTTCTTTGTAGTTTAGTGGTGATGTCTTCTTTTTCTGCTGGGACCTTTTAATAAGAATCTCTTCTAGGATAGTGTTAAAATTCATCTCGGTCTTCTGGTCGCTCTTTCTCCTGCCATTGAAGATCCCAGTTTCTAAAGTTAGAAAATAAATGGTGAGAATATGGCTCTAATTTTCTAATGCTGTTGAAATTTTAAATTACAAATATAGACCCTCCTCACCCTCCAGCCAGGATAGTCTTAAGTGTCCAGACTGGGGTGACCAAGGCCCAAAGTTTTTCTTCTCTTAGCTCAGCCTCCATCCTGCCCAGCCCTTTCCCAGGAAACCCTAATGAAGATTTCCCATGATGGTGATGATACATGTCTTTGTCTCTTCCAGTATCCCTTAGCTCTCCAACACATTCTGCTATTTGACTTCGGAGAACAAGTAACTCAGATGGCAAAGTGCATTCCACTGCCTGTATTTTTCATTTAGGCCTCAAGATCTTAGGAACTGAAACACATGACCACACAGCATAACTGATTTGAACAATGAATAAGCATGGTAGTGGATACAATTCACACTCTGACTCAGTAAGAATGTCATCTTGATCTGGTATCAGAGTGGTGTCAAAAGGAAGCTGTTGCTACAGCAATGCCCCTTGGTAACTACATTACTATGCTCCATACATGGCTCCTATCCAGACCTCAAGAGAAAAGAAGCCCACCCAGTCAGAGTTACAAAGTCAAGGCTAACCCTTCTTGGGACAGCCTACCTAGATACAAAGATCCTTGATCCTGTACCTAGAGCCTTAAAACTAGAGTTGGCAAGATGGCTCAATGGGTAAAGGTGCCTCCAAACCTGATGACCTGAGTTCACTACCCAGAACCCCCCCCCCAAAAAAGTGGAAAGAGGAGAAACAACTCCTGTAATTTGTCATCTGACCACCACGGTATACAGAAATAAAGGAATGCAGAGAGGAAGGGAGAAAGAGAGGGGAGGGGCCGGGTGGGGGAGGGAATGGAGTGGAAGGGAAGGAGGTAGGGGAGGCTTTAGGAAGGAAGAAAGGAAAGAAGGAGGGAGGGAGAGAGAGAGGAAGAGAGGGAGGGAGGAAAGGAAGGAAGGAAGGAAAGAAGGAAGGAAGGAAGGAAGGAAGGAAGGAAGGAAGGAAGGAAGGAAGGAAGGATTCAACCATTTGAGAACCTAAAGGTACCCAGAAGAGGTCTGCGGATTCTTCCCTGAGGCAAGCTGAATTAGGGTAGATTTCCTTCCCTTGCCTCCTCCATGCCCTTTCAAGAACTAATTGCATATCAAACCACAGAAAAAAAAGGAGTCTCCTGAAGTACATTCAGCAGCTACTTGATATTGTCGCCAGTGAATGGATACTGAGCTACTAAGGAATTCCATCATGCCTTCTTCCAACCTGATAACTTTAGTGCTCTACTATAACTATTCCCTCTTCACAATGACATCAGCCACTTTGGCTCTTCTGACTTTTATGAGCATTTATTCAACAGCATAACCTCTAAACATCCACCCCTTCATTCAGAAGGTACGGTGGGGAATACAAGGTTAGCGAGGCTTAAGTGAGATACAGATAATAAACTTACTGTGAAAATGCTATACAAGTATCTCTTATGGTTAACAGGCAGTAGCGCTTATTAGGAGATATGGCCTTGTTAAAGTATGTGTGGCATTGTTGGAAGAAGTGTGTCGCCATTTATTTCCTGCTGCTTGCCAATCCAGATGTAGAACTCTCAGTTCCTTCTCCAGCACTATGTTTGCCTGCACATTGCCATGCTTCCCAATATGATAATTATGAACTAAACCTCTGAAAATGTAAGCCAGCCCCAATTAAATGCTTTCCTTTATAAGAGTTGCCATGGTCATGGTGATTCTGCACAGCAACAAAACCCTAAGACAGTTATATTTAACTCCACTGTCATTTCCCTAGCTCACAGCATCCTAACCTCACAGCTGGACAACAGCAGCACCTTCCCAACTGGCCTTCCATTACCAACGCTCTTGCCTAATTCTAACTACATACCCCTTCTTGCTGTTGAATCAGTCTTCAAAGTTCCGTTGGGTCATTTCATTCAATCAGACATCCTTATGGTCACCCAACACCTGCAGGATAAAGCCAACATTTAGTCTGACTCTGAAGATGTTCACAATCCAGTTGCAATCTGACATTGCTTTTCCCTCCAACTCTTCCCCAGTCACTCCAAATATAGATCAAAATAGCATGGCCATCCCTCACAGTATTCATTCCCTAGTCTACAGCACATTCCCCACTCCTCTCTCTCTGTCTATGAAAACTCCATCAACTCAGAACTCACACCCTTGATGCAATCCTTTCTTGTGTCTCTAGTTAATGGAAATCTTCCAATATCTGGACCCATAATCTCTCTCATTCACCACAAAATGAATCATATTCTTCCATGTCTATAACAATGTATAAAGCTTAACTTCTCACCTAGCTATCTAAGGTGTATCTTAGAATCACCAAAATAAATTTTAATATAGATATCTAGGTTCTGTTTCCATTTTTCTTTAATATTTTCTAGGTCTGGAATGGGACCTGGACATCATAATTCTATGTGTAGGTAGAACTGTGAGCTACTATCTTAAAGGAAGAGCCTGAAGTCTTGTGCCTCTTTTTTTACCACACTTGGTGCTTAAAGCAGCCTCTTGATAAACAGTTGCAACCTGGACCCATTAGTCCATATGCATCATAATTGAGAAATCAAAGAAAATCCATTCTTGTTACATCTAAGTTGATCCTCTTGCTATATTACAATTTTGGTCTGTGCATTTTGGTGTATACTTGTAAATAACAACACTCAAGAGGTTGAGGCAGGAAGATCATAAGAGTCAAGCCAAACCTAGCCTACATAATTAAATCCATCTCAAAAATACATAGAGCTAGATAGATATAGATGAGATAAAAATAGATACAGATGAGAGAGAGAGAGAGATGTACTTTATTTTGTTTGGTATGCAAACAAACTATTGGTATGCAAATCCCACTTCTTTAGAAATCTTTTTATATGACATTTTCAGGAAGGGAAGAAAATGGCTACTTAGGAAAGGTTACCAGGGGAGAAGCAAGTTAGGCTCTAGACATATGGTTATAATGTGTATAGTTCTGATCCATGGAGCAACTCCTTTGTTACCAAACAGTACACAGATTTTTTGGAAGGCACTGGAAGACAACTAGAGCATGACTTAACTGCAGTTCTAGAAGCAAAAAGTTCCAACACCAGAGATAAGAAAAATGTCTGTTTAATGACTTCAGGGTGAGGGAGAACTGGCCTATCTCACTTATTGAGAAACTAATAATCTTATACAGAATCATACTATGAAAGCCGAAAGGAATCTCTCCTATCATCCCCTTTGCCTCACAAATTAAAAAACCAAGGTTCAATTAAGCATCTATCCCAAAGTATCACAGACCAAGACCAGGAAAAATATCTCTCCTGTTTCTAAATGAAGGACTCTTCCCACCATTCCACACCACACAAATTTGCTGCCCTGTAATAACTTATAGGTCAATGGAAATTCTGGTCAATAAAAGTCATTGTCCTTTGTAGGGTATAAAGGAAGTGTATTTCTCCTCACAGAAACATCCAGCTAAAGATGGATGGCTGAATACACCCACTTCCTTCCTGGAAGCCCATCAAAAATAGCTATTCAATTTATTTGTAGTTACTAAGAAATCAACACTCAGGTGGGTGGTGGTGGCTCACACCTTTAATTCCAGCACTCGGGAAGCAGAAGCAGGCAGATCTCTGTGACTTCAAGACCAGCCTGGTCTACAAGAGCTAGTTCCAGGACAGCCTCCAAACGCCACAGAGAAACCCTGTCTCGGAAAAAAAAAAAAAAGAAAGAAAGAAGGAAAAGAAAAGAAATCAACACTCTGAGGGACTGAAGAGATACCTTAGCAGTTAAGAGCATGTACTATTCTTGAAGATGACCCAGTTTCATTCCCAGAACCCATTTTGTGGTTCCAGGGAATCCAAAGCCCTCTTCTGGTCTCCACGCTAACCTGAACTCACATGCACATACCCACTACACACACACACACACACACACACACACACACACACACACACGCACGCACACACAATTTTAAAAGAATAATAGGTTTAGAAATAAATACATATTTAAAAAGAAATTAACACTTGAAAGTAGAAAACAGAAAAAGATTGAAGAAAACAAAATTTTGGAAATTAGAAGACAAGTACATGCTAGGTCTAATAAAGGAGGAATAGATAGGCAGCTGGAAACAATCCATTTTATACCTGAAAACCTCTAGAAAGTATAAAAGTTAAGTCATCAAATCCAGGAGCCCTAGAAGTGTTGGTAATTAAAATGTGTGTGTGTGTGTGTGTGTGTGTGTGTGTGTGTGTGTGTGTGTAGTGGGTATGTGCACACGGACATATGGATGTGGCTGCACACAAAGGCCAGAGGTTAACATCTGTTATCTTTCTTAATTTATTTCCACCTTACTCTTTGAATAGTGTGTCTCCTTGGACCAGGAGCTCACTGACACACTAGGCTAGCTAGCCAACAAGCTTCAGAGATCTTCCTGTCTCTGTCTCGACAGCACTGGATTACAGGTGTGTACTGTGTGGATTTTGGTGAATGGAACCCAGGTCCTGATACTTTCATGGCAAAGACTTTACCAACTGAGCTATTTGCCAAACTCTCTAAAGAAAGGAATCAGTTTTTCAGGGGAAGTGAGTGAAACAGGCTCTTACTATGCAGCTCTGGCTGGCCTGGACCTCTCTGTGAAAGTCATGCAGGCCTCAAACTCAGAAGGCATGCACCACATGCCCAGCCCCAAGGGAATTTTTGCAGGTCTATTTAAGACATAAAACATATCCCTCTTCTGTGTCATAGGTCTAGGTAGGTAGCCATTCTCAGTTCTGGGAAAAACTAAAGGGCTTTTTTTTTTTTCTCTTCATGAAACTTAAGACAGAAGATCTATCCTGAGAGAAATGAAGAGCTGAGGCAGGCATACCATACTGCAAAGGGAACTAATGTCAAAGGGTCTGAGCATATAAAAGGGAATTTTGAGCACCCAGTTCTTTCATGCCGAGTGGTCCAGAACACTGGATTCAAATTAGACCCAGCTAGCACCA